ATGGCTAAGCCATCAAAAGCTGCTATTGAATTAAAAAACATTGTTGGCAATGACAACATCTTTAATTAGCATATAACTTGCATACTTCAGGCTTAGTTGTGCAAATGTATTTCCATATTTGCAGCTCTTTCTTCCAACAGGAAATTATTTTTTCCTTTTGTACCATTAATTCTTTCAAGAAAATATTGTTCTTCTCCCACTCAGTTTGAATGTTATAACATTGCAATCTAAGTTTATCTACAATTACAATAACATTTTAGACTACACAAGATTTGCTGTACACAGCAACCAGTATTCACGCATACAGATTGCTCAGACTCTTCATTCTTCCAACATTCAAATGTAGAAGATATATAAAAATCATCATCTATCTTTACAATCTAGTCTAGCTAGATATAGTAATGTGACTGACACTTTGTGTTATTTATCTCCCCCTATGCCCAGGTTCAGATAGCAGCCATCAATTGATGTCTGCTCGATTGTTTTTTATCCTCCAGTATCCTGCCAGTTCTCAAGAAAATCTAAGTTATGTTTGGAGGTTAAGCATGCCACAAAGAATGAATTTTAATATTTTCCTACTTTGTGCTTTGCACACAACTCAATTCATAAAATTTACTTACTGATATGTTCTCCAGATATTCAAAATACACATCATATTCCAACAGACTCAAATGGATAAAATCAATTGCATTGAACACCACCAGAATCTTCATGTCACAAACCACATACAGACTTTAAAGTAAATATGATAGTAAATAGGCATAATCTCATTGGTATTGTATAATGTAATCTCGTTGTTCATTCACCTTCATGAAGCATTGTTAATTTCTCTTTCAAAGAATGAATATAATATTCTTGCATCTACTTTCTCATATAGATACGTATATATCGAGTAATATTCGTAGTATAAAGAAAGTTATGTAATGCTGCAGAAAATAAATTTCGAGCTATCAACAGAGATACACGTTTGAGGGTCCTTACTGAAAGTGTTCTTTTTTAAATGTCTGTCCATGAACACTAAACGCTACTAGCGCCTAAACTATTTGCAGTATTTTTTCCAAAATGGATATTCCCCGGTCAATCTACTCGACTCGAGGCGTTCTGATTTTGGAAAATTTTCTTTAAAATTTGGGAGGACAATATTAAAATTTTCTCAAAAATGGCTCCAAATTTTTTGAAAGAATAGAGACGATGTGTACATGTTATTGTATTTACGAGTACATGCGCTTAAAATAATATGTGCAGATTCTAGAATACTCAACAGTTTTGTGTGAAAATGAGCTCAAATTTCCACATTTTCTGAAATGCTCAAAGGCCATTTTCTTAACAAAGGCTCCACATTTTTCAATGAAAATTACCATTTAGGAAGAGATATTCTTCTTCTTCTTCAATATTCTTAAAATAATATTTTAGTTCTGCCAAAAAAACAAACCAAACAAAACCAAAACAAATGAGCAAATGTCAAAATGTCCAAAAAAAATTTTTGATGGCAGTAGATGGCAGCTGGCAACAGTATGTGGCGAGTTTGAATACCTAGCCCTGGCGAAAGAAAATAGAAAACTAATACTAGAAAGTCTATGCTATTATGTAGCACCACTTAGTTTGACATGTGTTGATGAATCAGTTTTAAAATTCTTTTCAACATATGTATAAATTCTTTCAATCCAACACGCCATTGGCGGTATCTGTTTCGAAGTTCTTGGCAACCAAGTTTACACATGCACTTAATCTTGTACAAAGAGCGTCCAATTTAACAGGGGGCAGACACACTAACGCAGAGTTGAAGCGCGCATGCGATGAAATAATTCTACTACATCTAATAAGTTCTCATACAGACAAAACGAGATGTTTGATATTGGTATATTGTACTAATGTGATTACTACCAATCACTAATAAGTAGATTTGTTACAATGTAATCTATGATTCTCATATAATTTCAATGACTATTTGACACTGGTATCATGTTAATATTTTAAAAATGTATTCATTACAAATCCATAATAATCAGAAATGTTTGGAAAAAAATTAATTCATGAACCTCGTATCAAAATTTTAATGTATCTCTGCAATGTCTTGAGCATTTTCTACACATTATTTATGTGCATTATTGGATTGTAGTATAATACTTAACATCGGTTTCAATGGATTCCTCAACGTTAACTTATGCTCTAGTATATCTAATGAACATAAGGTGGTGGTATGGTAACATGGTATGAATATACGTCTGCCATTATTGGTAATGGATTATTAACATTTCATGTAATTGAAAATGTCAACCCCATATAGTATTAACATTAATTCCATTTTACATCAATTTAAATTACTTCACTTGTTATTCATATTGCAAATTCATAATTACTTATAATAGGTCTTATAAATCAGAAACAAATAAAAGTTAAAAATTTTGGAAACATTCCTGAAAGGTTGAAGTTGCATAACATCTTAATGCAAATAGAACCTTTAATAAGGGGAAAATTGACAATCTTCTTTTAGTCATTAGGACTTCGTCGACCATCGGCACAAGTGTATCCACTACAGTAGTTTTATTGAAAAGAACCCACTTTCGGAATTTTTCATCATTCTACATTTGCAATGCGTTGCTCATATCTCTAATATATCTCTTTGAATTTCGTAGTATGTGTTGAGTATAAAACTCAAAATAATCTTCGAATTCATTTTCCATACCACGTTTTACAAATGATACGTTATTAACTTCCTACACTATACAAACACCAGCAAGCCGAATCCAATAGTCGGTGAACGCTGCGTAAAAGTATAACCTAAACTGGTTACGACCGACGATGCGATGGAGCCATAAGGAACACTTAAGGGAACAGGTTGCCTTGCTTATAGGAATGAGTTCTCACTTAAGACTTCATTCAAGGGCTGTTTATGAATACGATTCAGCCACTTAAGAGAACACTCAGTGTAAGAGACGACTATGAATTCAGCCCTTAAAAGCACATTGTAGATTGTAGTTTCTAGACAGTGATTCCCCTTAGGTTTAGATTTTGATATGGAAATGAGGAGGAGGAGGTGCCACATGGACCAACATTTGTACACTATTGTTTTATGTGTTGAGAATGTTGGAACATTATTTGAAGTAGTTTTTATGTATGTTTTTGTCATGTGTTTTTTTTTTTTCAGAGCCTGCATTCAATATTACACCAGGAAATGTTGAATTTTTCATGGAAGTTGGACCTGGCAGCATTACTATTGACTCACTGGAGGCTACAGTTGTCACCAATTCAGGCAGTATTGGTGATGGGATCCAAGCCAATGGTAAGATTAAATTTCAATATTAGAAATATTAACGGAGACACATTAAAGAAATTGTAGAATAATAAAATTTAACATACGTGATTTTGATATAACCTCTAATTATATCAAAATGTAAGAGTTTTGTGCATTACGCTTAAAAGATATTGATAAATACTGGTCTAAAATTGGAATGAACATTACGTTATTTAGTTATTGAAAATACCGGGAAGAAATAGAAATCAGATTGAGATTTACGAGGAATTTTTTGATCATTTATTTCCCATTCCTGGGCTGTATTGTCTGAATAATATATTTCTTTCTTTTTGACATCTTGGGTGGACGTAGAATGGTGGTGTTGTGTGGTTGTTCAGATCACAATGGTAGCAAGAATCAAATCGCAAAAACAGCACCCAACTGTAAATGACACAGAATCGTATATACGATGCTTAACCAAAGAAGTAATGGCACTCTTCAATTTATAGTCACTTTGTCCTGTAAGATTTTTTTTTTTTTCTTTTTCAATAATAACCGGCAACTCTACAGTGACATCAGCAGAATTTGAAGTCTAAGATTGGATAACGGAACCCCTTCTCCGCATTAACCTGCTAGCTGCCAAGCAGACAGAAATATTAATCAAACAATAATGGTGGAAATAAATAGGCAAATGAGATTTCATACTTTTTCCTGGATATACACCAAATAATCGTCTTGTTCATGGTGTTTGCTTTTTGATTTCTTCATTCATTAAGTCCCGGATAAATTTCTGTACTTCAGATACCAAATTATTTCAGACATGCTTTTCTCGTTTATAAGTTCATAATGAACGGCTTCAGACCATATCATGTCCTTTGAATTATTTCCTTCGCTAATTAGTATTATTTAAAAAATTCTACTCAATAATGAATTTCTTCTTATGATCTGTCCTGTAATTTACATTTTTTCTTTTTATACTATTTACTCACAATTTGTGTTAATTTTTTATCAACAAAACTCTTCTTTCAATATTTTTTTTCATCTAATGCTGAGAGGCCTTGAATGTGTGTATATGCTGTAGCAATCTATTTAAGTATGTTAAAAATATTGTCTTTGTAAGCATGTGAAATACCTCAAAATATCCAAGGTGCACAAAGGTTCACATGCTTGCTTCATTGGTTAATATCATCCAGTGAAATTGTTGGCCTATTGATCAATTAGAGATCGCTACCTTATTCACTAGGGAGCGGAAGATCCCCTATAAGGAATCCATATGCTATTGGTAATCTGTTGTGAAATATGTTTTCCTGGTTAGAAGCCATCAAATTCAAACATTCCAGGAATAGACCTAAATTGAAAATAAGAATAATGAAATAATTTTTTGAATGTTTCAGTTGTTGGAGGCAGCTTTCCCTGGGGTGCTCCTCCACCACCGGAGTTCATTCAGAACTTAATGCAAGCAGTCGCTGGCCACATGATTGGGCGCGGTGGTAGTGGTGGCAGCGGTGGTGCAGCCGGTGCCTCCACCTCAGCCTCTGCTTCCACCTCACCCTCCTCGTCCTCCTCCACATCCACGTCTACATCGGGTGCAGCAGGCAGTGGTGGTGGGGGGCAGAACAGCCAGGCCCGTGGCAACACAGCAACACACCCCACTACAGCAACTCAGACACGCTCCACAGCACGGCCACATGTACATTTGGCACCAGCCACCGTGCAGGGTCTGGGTGCCAGCGGTTTTGACCCATTCTTGCCCTGCAACTCTCACCACATTCGCTCACGCACGCGCACCAGCCATACACTCTCTCATCACCTAGCTGCCTCACCCTCACCCTCCTCCAGCACTACCACTGCCACGACTTCACCCGCACCCACAGCCACAGTGGAAACTGCTGGCCGCTCGCCCTCCTCTAAGATGCCTCTGCACCTGCCGATGCAAGCCTTGCTACATTCCCCAGCTCAGTCCCTGCAACCACAACCAACAACCACAACGCACAAATCACATATCCCAACGCACAATCACAATCCCAACCCCAACCACAACCACAACCACAACCACAACCCCAACCCCATTCCCAACCCCAACAGCCTCAGAGTGTCGCCGGCATCCTCAACATGCTCTCCAATATCTTTGGCAGTATGCCTACTGGCGGTGCCGCAGCGACTGTCAACTTATCAAACCTCTTCCAACCCATGATGCCGCAACAGCAGCAGCGCACAAGCACTACCCAGGCCAGTGGCTCCCAGGGAGCCATGCCTTTCCCTCCTGGCATGGCCTTCTTCAATCTTAGCAGTCAGCCACGCTTCACCTCAGCACAGCCGCAGACACAAACACAACCGCAAGCACAGCCCCAACCCCAGTCCCAGTCTCAACCCCAGCCCCAACCCCAATCCCAGCCCCAGCCTCAGCCCCAAACACAGCCTGAACCACAACTTCAGCCGCAACAGTCTCAGCAGCAGCAACAACAGCAGCAATCCCAACCCCAACCCGAGTCGTCTTTCTTCCAGCGGTCTGGAAATCAGGTTAGGAAGATGTTGTTTGGTAAATCAATTATTATAAGTAAATATAAATAAATACAGTAAAAGATGTCTGAACTGAAATCTATACAAGCCTGCAACCTTCCTTGGCTAGAAAATTTCTCTGGGCTGTGAAGTTAAATGACATTTTACGCAATATAAAAAGAAACCTGTCCAACACAGAAACAGAACAGTTTTTCTTGTCCAACCAGGTAAAAACCTTTATAAAATGAAATTTCTGTGAATTTCATGCAATTGGAAGAGAGAACAAGATATTGTATTGGAACGAATGCATCTGCAAGTTGTTATCTTTTCCTTCTTATTGGGACTCTGAGTTTAGTCGTGTCAGCCAGACAATGAAGGAGAGTGTCTTCAGCTGTCGGTGTAGAATTTGACCTTAAGGTCAGTTGTCTCTCAAGGCTTAGACATAGGGATTTCCCTCCTTCCCTCCCTCCCAGCTCTCTGAGCATGGGAAGGTGTATGGGCATTAAAAATTGTAACCAACAGCCAGGGATGCATTGCTCAAAGTCATGTGAGGATGTCAGAAAGGCATAGTACTCTGGGTTGTGATGCATTGTGTATTGAAAATGTCAGCAAACAGTCCAATTGCAGGCACTAGGCAGTAAGGTGGTGTATATTTTTGTGTGTTTCACATCCAGATTAGCAATGGTTGGAAAAAAAACACAAAACTTCAACCTTTGATGAAAAAGTTAAAATTATAGCAGCAAGCGAAACCCAGAAGCTGTCAGTGAAGGATATGAAGAATATTCATTAATCATTTTCTTTCTTTCTTTGTGAGCCTTGTTTCCTTGTGAACCTAAATTATACAGATGTATAATTTTACAAAATTTATATTTAGACCAATGACTTGGGAAACAAAATTTGTAACATTGACAAAATTGCATATACAAAATAATATGTGAATAATATTACTCTTGTTTATTGTCAAGTCATTCTGAATCATATTTTCTTTCACATGCACTGCACGATATTGTTGTTTTAGAATGTTCTTTACAGACAAACATTTGACATACATCACATTTTGTGGTTGTAAATTTGTTTTTCGCTTTGCCACAAATTACACATGTGCCTCTTGTTTTTGTGATGATTTGCTCTTCACGCTTTTCTTCAGGTCTGTACTTACAAAGTATTGCTTTGATATTTTTTCCCTACTGATATCAATGTTGCTCTATCATTAGGTAAGGTTTCATAAGCTGAAGCACTAGTGTTTTCAAGAAAATTCTTCTGTAAACATCCTAGTTTCCTAGTGGCCATCTTCTGACCACCATGATTTGTGGGAAACAGTGTACTCACACTGTACAGTCCTACACATGTGATCCATGGTGTCAACGGCACCTTTAGTCATGTTTTAATCAGGGAATTTTTTGGTTTCCCTGTTTTTGAAACAATACCATCATCATTCATAGTA